AAAAGATTGAGAATGAGAGACAAGAGTGATGGACAGAATATCAGTAGACAATCTGTTTGTCGAGTATCTCGTGAAAATGCGAGAATTTTTCCTGCTGATCAAATCACTGTTGCACTACGTAAAACCAAAGCGCGTGCAAAGGATCGCGCGAAAGGCCTTAGGGCAGTTTTTGGGAAGAAGAGGTTAACGGCGGGCTGGTTCTGGGGAAGAAGGGATTGTGAAATGGATAAAGTGCGGCTGAGTGCCTGAAAGAAATGACTAGGGTGTAGCCGAAGGGCTAGAAATTTGCGAATTTGGAATTTGATAGCCAGTATTTCGAGAAAATTGGAATTCCACCCAGCAGCGACACAAAAAATTCAGTTATTTTTTAGCCAGTTTAAAAGGAGAAGCGCTGGAGCGATGCAAGGGTATGAAGCATGCCATGAAAATTATCCAATGATCATACAGAAATTAACTAAACGATTTGGAAATCCTGTCATAGTAAAACAGCTGCTATGTGGTGAATAGAACTTCACCGAAAGGAGTGATCGAGATTTGAAATCGACGGTAGAAGCAATTGGAAGGGTTTTGAGGCAGCTCGGGGCAGTGGGAGAAAATACTGGCCACCCTCTCGTTGAAATGACTATTGAACGTCTTTTACCTTTATGGGTTTTAAATGAGGTTTATCAGCAAAAGGAAAACGATGAAAATTGGTTTATAAACAAACTGAGATGTTACGTGGGAAAAATATTTAAAAAAATGAACGACCTAAGCAGAATTCAAAGAGTGGCGGCAAAAGGCGAAGATGGAAAATGTGTTGGTAGGGTGAAAAGCCAGGTGAGCCCAAAAAAAAGAGGCTGTGGAGTAGAGCAAACTTCCACATTAGCTGCAATCAAGAGAAGCAGGGGAACACAGCAGAGGGAAAATAGAAAAAGTCAAAGCAATGGTTTAGAGGGAAGCAATCAGTTAAGAAAAATATCGTGTATATTAATGGTAGCGATCATTGGAACGACCACTGTAGGCTTGGTTCAACGGTATCAAAGCGAGCTGCGCGTTTGAAAGAGATGAGTGTCTGCTGCAAATGCTTGAAAACCGGCCATATCAGTCGAGAGTGTAGACTAGAAAGGAAAAAATGCTTCCACTGCCAACAGAACCATAATGCGGCAACTATCAACGAAAACTGGAAACAGAATCAACTAAGAAGGAAGTAATGGGAAAAGTTCAATTGATTAAAGAAGAACAAATGATCACGAGTAGTGCTCTGGCAGACAATAGGAATATAAGCAACAGGAAAGTGCTACTTTTATATCGAGAAGTTACAGCAACAAGTCCAAAGTATCCGAACAAAAAATCAAAGCTTTAGCTTTATTTGACGCCAGATCTCAGTTGTCGTTTTTATGCGTTTTTGCCGTGTAGAGCTAGAGCGCTGCAACAGGCAGCAAAAACGCATATTGCAACGACCCCGTCAGTTGGTGTGTGTGTGTGTGTGTGTATGTTCGTCTGTT